TTGATTCTCATTTTTTCCCCTTAACCCTGCCCTCCCTTCACCCCCTCCTCCCTTCCCTATTTACAAATACTTTATTTCCATTTTTTCATTTTCTTTCTTTTTTTTCCTCTCATTGAGTTTATTGGTACATTTTAGGTATACAGTACAGTTACATTCATCATTGGGATCTTGTACCTTTACATGACAGATCTTGGTTCTCATTTTTTCCCCTTGTCCCTGCCCTCCCTTCACCCCCCCCCTGTAATAAAGTTTACAAACACTTTATTTCCATTTTTTCATTTTCTCATATTTTTTTTATTTTTTTCTTTTCCCTTACTAGCTTTACCTGAAATCTGGGATTTTGACTAAGATGTGTTGTGTGCAACTTCTTATTTCACCATAGTTAGGTAATGATCTGTGAACCTCTTGTCTGTATGTTGAAATCTTTCCTCATACTTGTAAAGTTTTCTAATGAACATTTTTTTATCCCATGTGTACTCTCTCTCGTCTAGTTTTTCTGTAACTCCAGTTAGCCTTAGGTTGGTTTGCCCAGTGTTGTCTAGTAGCTGTTAGATGAATTTTTCTTCTTCTCTTACCGTTTTTAAGACTTTTCTAGTAATTCATCATGACTTAATGTTTTGTTCTTGATTTCAGAAATTCTTCACGTTGGCTATTTCTACAGTTTATGAATTCTATACAATTTTTTATTTCCAGTATTTCTGCTTAATACCTTTTCATGGAGTATATATCTTTGACAAATTTGTCATTCATGTTTTGAACTGTTTTAATCAGCTCTTACAGTTTTTTACTTCTCCCCTATTCACATTGGTCAGTTTATGTGATAGTTCCATCAACATTTGAGTCTTTTTTGAACTTGCCAAGTTTCTTTACCTCTTCTTTAATAAGTAGTAAAACTTCACTGGTGCTTTTCTCTTCATTGGTGCCCATAGATCTGCTTTGGGAGAGTTGAGAGACTTTGGGGACCTTTATTGCTTTGTATTTCCATGTTGTTCTTGTATATATGTATGTGTGTATATTTGTGAGGGCAGGGGCAGGCTGTAAGAGAAGGAAGGTGTAGTCTGGTTTTGAGGAAAGCTGTGAGGTTGTCAGAACCTGTCAATAAAGATATGTATCTGAAAGGTGGAAGAGAGGCAAGGGAAGACAAGGAGATAGATAAAATAAGGAAGAATAAAAAGAATAGAATAGGGAAGACAGAAAGTACAAGAGAAGATCAGAGTGACAGAGAGAGAAATGGGAAAGCAACTGCAAAGAAGAATTTAAAAGTGGAAGAATAATAAATAAAATAATTTTTTTTTATTTTTTTGGTTTTTTGAGACAGGGTCTCACTATGTAGTTGAGACTGACCTGGAACTCACTAAAAATAATTTTATTAAAAAATTTATTAGGTAAAATAATTAAATTGAATTGATACAGAAGATAGAATTGAAGAAAAGGATTAGGGAAAAGGGAGATAGAAAATAACTATATCAAAGCAAAAATCAAATAACAAAAGCAGAGGGCAAGATAAGGAAAAAGCTGAAAGAAAAAAATAAAAAAGAAAGAACAAAATTTGACAGGAACCCAGATCAAATGCTCCAACAAGAGAATATACGTGCAATTCTCATGTGACCACTATGCCAGAAAGCCTGAGTGTCCACACTTCACTTATTTCCTTATTGGTGATCTGTGTGCAGGCAGCTTCACCAGATTCCCCTGTCTATAGACTGTTTCCCCATCTGTGGTGAGCGGTGTCAGGTTCTTCCATCCAGGCTCTGCTTTGGGCATGGTTAGCTATAGTCTTTTGTCTCTGACCCATGATCCAACCGCCTCAATTAATTTGAGAGGAGGAGGATATGAAATAATTTTTCTCACAATGAGCTCTCCTTTACCTTCTGCCAATGTCCTGCTTCCTTTTGGGCTGGGCAGTTTCATGTTCTCATTCAGTTATTTCCTGACTAGTTTGTTGCCAGAAAGTCTCTGCCCCACCTTGTCCTATCTTTACTTCTGCGCTCAAATCCTTGACTGACCCCATTTCAAAATTTCCCCTTTCCAGCCAGCAAAATCTGACATAGTCCCTGGGCTTGGTTTAGGGACTTTTTTCCCCTGTAACTTTACAGTGGTCACAGTTCAGAATTTCTTACTAAATGATATTTTTCCAGTCTGTCCAGAAGTCAGGCCTCCAGTGGTTGTTTATTCCCTCGGGCTGTTTGGACCTCTCACAGTGGCTGCTCCTTGGAAAGAGTAGGGATAGGGGTGGTAGAGATCAGCAATGGTGGTACGATTTCCCTTTTTCAACAGATACTTTGTTTGATCTACCTGTATGGTCTTTAAGATTAATTTTTGGGTTCAGGATATGAGTACTTCTCCCCATTTCACAGCACCTGTGTATTAGGTGAATCTTTTCTGAGTCATCTGTGATGTAACTTCCTGTAGTAAGCCATGTTGAATTTTTCTTTTTATGGGATTAATTGGCACATGTAGTGGTAGTTAGTTTTTATTGTTGGATAGTATTCTGATTTATATATCTTGTTGGTATATATTTGAGTTGCCACAATTTTTTTCCTTTACACAATGCTACTATGAATATTCTTGTTTTACATTTTTGTACACAAATGAGAGTTTCTCAAAGGTGATTAATAGTGAAATTTCTGTATCGTTGAGAATGTACGTCTTCAACTTTATTAAATTTTGAAAAATGAATCCCCTGAAACTTATTTATTCCATTCTTAACAAAAATTTATAACTCCTCTTTTGATATGTCAGTTTATATTAATATTTCAGATGTTGTGGATTGAAGATAACAGTTGAAAAATAATATACCTTTTATGTTATGATATGTATTCCCTCAATGTTCAGAGAGTCAAGAAGCTGTTTAAAAATAGAAACAGGTATATGAAATGTTTCTATTTATATAAACCCCTAAAGAAAAGAAATTGGAACAAATTCAGTGGGTTATTCAGCATTCTCTTTTATATTTTTTATTTAGTTTTAACCAATAAATTATTCTTAGGATCTAGATGGCTCACTGTGAAACTATCTGTTGTGTGAATGTTTGAGTGAGTGAGTGAAGGATGAAACTATTTGGCTAATAACATAAGAACAATAAAATATAATGAAATAGTTAAAATCTAAGTAGTGTCCCTGAGCTGAAATGTTAAAGAGAAACACCTGGCAGGGGGAAGGTCCCCATACTGATCTGTGGATGTTATCACAATTTATGCAACATCCCTTTAATGTGTACACCCTTGTCTAGGTGCTGCCGTTATGGCTATTTCTATTTCTTTATTACAAATACAGAACCTGGGGAGACTGTGCTTGTTTGGTGTATAGCCTGAGCAGCTGTCCTCCTTCGCAAGATTTCTAGAGGTCTTCCCCAGCCAGGTGGGCATGACATACTAGTATTTCTTCCTGGCCCTGTTAAAAGTTGGTTACTTTCACATGGTTCCTTGTGGACTAGCAAATACTGTGTTGTATCTGGGCTTTCATACACAATTCCGGCTAGTGCCTTGTTACCATGGAATTGTTGTTGTTGGTTTTCTAGAGATAACATCTAAATCTGGCTAGGTGTGTTTTGAGATAGTATAGGGATTGTTGAGTTACTTGTTAGCAAATCCCTGTTAATTTATCAGACATATGCAGTCATTATTTTGTTTTTGTTTTTTTTTTTTTTGTACTGGGAATCGAACTCGGGTCCTTTTGCTTGCAAGGCAGGCACTGAACCACTGAGCTAAATCCCCAGCTGCAGTCATTGTTAAATGTTACTGCAGAGACATGCAGAACATTCTTGAAATATCATATTGGTTTGCTAGGATTGGATTAAAGACTTAGTCCCCAACACATGACAGTATTGTGAGGTGGTGGAACTTTTAAGAGGTGAGACAGTGCCAGGGATTTAGCTCAGTAGTTCTGCTGCCTGCCTTGCAAGTACAAGGTCCCAAGTTCGATCCCTGGTACCCCCCCCAAAAGAGGTGAGACATAGTAAAAGAAAGTTAGTTCACTGAAAGTGTGTTCGTGGAGGGGATTTTGGGATTTCCTGTCTTTGTTTCCTGATCCCTGAGGCAAACAGGACTTCTCTGCCACACATTCTTGCCATGATGTACTGTGGTGCCACAGGCCCAAAGCAACAGGGTCCAGTGATTGTGCACTGAAACCTCCAAAACTGTGAGCTAAAGTAAGCCTCTCTTCTTTTTAAATTGATTATCTTGGGTATTTTATTACAGTAACCGACAACTAATACAGGCTGCATAACAAAGAATCACATGGGCATGGTTAGTTATAGTCTTTTATAGTTGTGGCTTAATCAATAGAGATTATGTCACAGTTCTGAAGGCTAGAAATGTGAGATCAAGGTATTGGCAGGGTGGTTTCCTTCTGAGGACTGTGAGGGGCTGTGAGGGAGTATCTGTTCCAGCCTCCTCAGCATGGCTTGTAAGTGAACATCTTTGTGTGTTTTCACATTGTCTTCCCTCTGTGCATATCTGTCTGTATGCTAAATTTTCACTTCATAAGGTTATCAGTCATACTGGATTAGCTCTTTAACTTGATGACCTCTATAAAGACCTAGTTCCAAAGAAGATGAGTTTCTGAAATACTAAGATTTAGGGCTTCAACATATGCATTCTAGGGACACACCATAACAGGTTGCACCACAATGTAGAATTATGAGAGAATTATTAGAAGGCTACTTGTAAACATTGGGTTTTCAGCACTAGGGAGGCTAGTATCCTAGACATTGAATGCTTTGGAACCTTCTTTTTGACAGATGAAGGAGCACGTTCACAGTTTCTTACCACAGACTTGGTCTAGTACAGTGAGCTTATTTACTTGCTAACTTCTAGGAAGGAAGTTTTGGAAATCAGTTTAAAAAGTCAGATTTTGTCCTAGAATTAGATATAAATAGATTTCTTCCCCCAAGAGTTTACTGCTTGAGTTGTTCTTGTTCTTTTTTCATTTGTTTTCACATTTATTTCAATCATTGCTAATGAAAGAAATACCTGAAAACTTTTTTTTTTTGGTTCTAGACTTAAAAGAAATTATATTTGTCATCCAGAGTCAAAGCAATTCTTTTCATGCAAAGAGAGCAGAGCAATTGAAAAAAAGAATTTTAAAGCAGGCTGCAAATCTTACACAGGTATGTAGAGATGGCTCAAGATATGTGCTAATTATGTTTTTCTTCATGCAATTATGTTTCCAAAGCATTGAAATTAGTTTTATTTAGATGAGAACAAATCTTTTGACTCATTTAGCTTATTTAATATCTACTATTGTTGAAAATGCTGTGGTTACAAAGCACACACAAAGAAGGAAATTATAAAAATCAGAGCAGAAATTAGTACAATTGAGACTAAGAAAACAATACAAAGAATCAGAGTTGATTCTTTAAAAGATTAAATAAAATTGATAAGACCTTAGCCAACCTCATCAAAAAAAGGAAAGAAAAAACCCAAATCCATGCAATTAGGTAGGAAAAGGACAAAATCACAACAGATCCTGTAGAAATCTAGATCATCAATACCTATTTTGAGAACCTGTACTCTGCTAAGATAGAAGACTCAGAAGAAAAGGTTAGATTCCTCAATATATATGAATTACCAAAGCTGAACCAAGAAAATATAAAAAATTCTAAATAACCCAGTATCAATCAATAAAAGTAAAGAACTAATTAAAAAACTACTAACAAAAAAAGCATGGATCCTAATGAATTCATTACTGAATTCTACAGGAACTCTAGAGAAGACCTCATGCCACTCACTACTCCTGAAACTCTTTAATGAAATCGAAAGGGAAGCAGTACTCTGAAAATCATTCCTGGAAGCAAGCATTATCCTCACACCAAAATCAGCGAAGGTCCCAAACAAGAAAGAAAACTACAGGTCAATCTCCTTAACGAACATAGATGTAAAAATACTCAATAAGATACTGGCAAACAGACTGCAGCAAAATATTATACACCATGACCAAGTAGAATTCATCCCAAGAATGCAGGGGTGATTCAACATGTACAAATCAATAAATGTAATATTATGTGGTAAATAATACTCCATCAACAGAACCAAGGAAAAAACTCAGAAAGACAGATGCAGAAAAGGCATTTGACAAAGCCCAACACACATTGGTGAAAAAGTACTACAGAGAATTGGAATAGGTCTTTATCTCAATCTGATAAAAGCCATCTATGACAAAAAAACTGCTAGCATCATATTAAATAGTCAAAAACTAAAAGCTTTCACTCTGAAATCAGGAACAAGACAAGAGTGCCCACTATCACCACTGCTTTTCAATATTATTTCTGGAAACATTAGCCAGAGCAATTAGACAAAAGAAAGAAATAAAAAGAATATAGGTAGGAAAGGAAGAAGAATTATCATTATTTGCTGATATGTAACAGTCTGTGAAGACCCCAGAAATACCACCAAAAGACTCCTAGAATTAATAACCAAATTCAGCAGCATAGCAAGGATACAAAGTCAACACTTAAAAATCAGTAGCATTCCTGTACATAAATAACGAACTTATTGACAGAGAAATTAGGAAAACACACGTTTCACAATAGCATTAAGAAAAATGAAATACGTACAAATCAATCTAACAGAGTACATGAAAGACCTATACACTGAAAACTCTAGTACTCTGAAAAATGAGATCAAAGAGGATATCAGAAAATGGAAAGATATTCCCTGTTCTTGAATAGGCAGAACCAGTATAGTGAAAGTGACCATACTTCCATAACTTTTATACAGATTTAATGAAATCCACCATTAAAATACCAATAGCCTTCCTCACAGAAACAAAGAAAATAATTCTAAAATTCATATGGAACCAGATGAGAAGTAGAATACCAAAAGAAATTCTAGGCAACAATGGCAAGGCAGGGGACATCACAATCCCCAGTTTGAGATCATATGACAAAGATGCTGTGATAAAAATAGTATGGTACTGGCAAACAAACAAAAAACAAACCAGATCCAAGAAACAATGGAACAGAATAGAAGATGTAGAAATAATTCCCAGCACACTTAGCTATGTTATTTTTCACAGAGGAGCCAAACACCTTCACTGGAAGAAAAATAGCCCGTGTAGTTAATAAATGGTATTGTGGAAACTAGCTTTCCACATGCGGAAGATTAAACCTGGACCCTTATCTCTCACCATGCACTAAACTAAAATCACAGTGGATCAAAGATCTAAATAGTAAAACAAACACTTAATCTGCTGAAAAATAAAATAGGTGAAACTCTTGAAGACATAAATGTAGGCAAAAACTTAATGAACAAAAACCCAGTAGCATGAGCAATATTACAAAGAATCAACAACTAGTATCTCATCATATTAAAAATCTTTTACCAACAAAAGAAACTATTAGCAGAGTGAAGAAACAACCCATAGAATAGGAAAAAAATATTTTTACCAAAAGTACTAATATCTAGATTATATAAAGAACTAAAAACAAACAAATAAACAAGCAAAAAAACAAAAATGAGATTCTGCCAAATTTAAAGGCCTAATCCAGAAATGGGCATCTGAAATGAATAGACACTCAGGTGAAGAAGTAACAACAGCAAATAAATATATGAAAAAATGTTCATCATCAGTGGTCATTGGGGAAATGCAAATTAAAATAACACTGATACTCCATCTCAGTCTTGAAAGAATAGCTGTCATCAAGATATCAACCAATAACAAGTGCTGGTGAGGCTATGGGGAAAAAGGAACTCTTCTCCACTGTTGGTGTTATTGTAAATTGGTACAACCAATGTGGAGATCAATATGGAGATTCCTCAACAAATTAAAACTAGGGGTTCCATTTGACCCAGCTCTTCCCTTTCTTGGTATCTTTCTGAAAGAGTTAAAAGCAGCATGCCACAGCAATATATATGCACACCCATGTTTATAGCAGCATAATTTGTAATAGCCAAGTTTTAGAAACCCCTAGATGCCCATCAGTAGATGAATGGATAAAGAAAATGTAGTTTTTATGTATAATGGAGTATTACTCTGCCATAAAGGATAAACTTGTGACATTTTTAGATAAATGAATGCATTCTGAGACTGTACTTTTAAGTGAAATAAATCAGACACATATGTTTAAATATCTCATTGTTTCTCTTCTGTGAGAAACGAAAAGCATAATTGAGGACCAAAATGGATGATAGATATTGAGAAATAGGATGAAAATGTTCAAATAGGAAGAAGAGCAAGGGAGAGCAGAGGGGGAAGGGAAGGAAGGAAAAAGGAAAATAAGAAGGATGGAAAGAAAAAAATGGAAACAAAGCTTTTGTAAATGGGGAGGTGATGAGGGTTTGAAGGGTAGAGAGGGGAATGGGGAGAAAAGAATTAAGATATATTATTTACAGGTACACATTTCCTGTTATGAATATGATCAATATGAATGACAAATGTGTACTAAAAAAATCCTGTGATGCTCAAAATATTTTACATAAAGTATATGTGTGTGTGTGTGTATGTATATATACACACACATATAATTAATACTGGGGATCGAACTTGGGACCTTGTGCTTACAAGGCAGGCAGTGGCACCACTGAGCTAAATCTCTGGCCCTATGGTATATATGTTTTAATTTAAGGGGGTTAAATAATTGTGTAGGACTATTGTGATTTTGCCATGAAATATAATAAAAAGAAATAGAAATAATTTTTTAAAGGCAGGGCTTAAAATAGCAGAGATAATTATAGTTCAAATTTTGGAAACAAGTTCTAAGGTAGTTTTCATGTTGAAATAACATTTTTGTTAAGCTTAGTGGTGCTTCTTCTTTGGGTCTCTAAATCTGTTTTTTAATTGGATGTCACTAATTGAACTTTTGATTTGATTTATAATGTAATATTCCAGAAAGCCTATGGAGAGGAAAAGTCTACATGTACAAGTACATTTTAATGATATTTAAAATAGGTGTGAACTGAATCTAAAGTTGTTCTGAATAATGCTGGAAGTGTGAGATGAAGGAAGATCTACTTTAATATATAATAGTTTCTCCTTACTTAGGGAGATATGTTCTAAGACCACTCCCCAAGGATGCCTGAAACCCCAGGTAGTAGCAAACAATATACTGTTTTTTCATATGCACATCTATTTGTGGAAAAATTTAATTTTTAAATTAGGCACAGTAAAAGAGTAATAATAACTAATAATAAAATCAAATATTTATAATAATATACATAATACAGTTGTTAGCATTGCTACTGCAGTGTTTTGGAATCATTATTAAGTAAAGTGTACTCGAACACAAATACTCCAAAAAATAAATGGCCAGAAATAGCAAAGGAAGCAAGCAATTGTAGGGATATTTGAGTCTTAGACATTGCTGAGAATAAGGTTTATTGTATTTCCTCTTTAAATAATAAACCTCAGTAAACCTCTATGCATCCCTGCAAGGACAAGTTCTTTGGATTGCCCTCATTCGAGGGCATGACAACATATTTTCTGAAAGGAGAGGAAAGAGTTACTATTGACAGATTATTGTTTGATTGGAGATTGGAGCCATTTGTTAGGTTGAAAATTTGTGTTTGTCTGGAAATTGAACTCATAGAGATTTTCTTTTAACCTGAACCCTTCTGAATTTCATCAGAGAGGCAGATATACCGCAACCTTGAGCAGCTAGATTCTTCCATTAGCTCAGCAAATGTTAGTGGGATGGCCACCTCTGAAAAAGCCCCATCTATGACCTCATGGGGCTTTGAGGGGACATCTAGATACAAGCTATCTTGTCCAGTTCCTGTGTACCTAGGACACCTTTCTAGGTACTTTCTCGACCTGCAGTTGTAAATCATTTTCTCTTTTGTCTTATTTTTCTGTCTTGTACACATTTCTTTTGTATAATTTTCACTCTGTATTGTGAACATTTTGTCTTTCTGTTTTACAAATTTTGAGAGCAGAGAACAGAATATGTCTTACTAGATTTTAATTCTTTAGAACCAAGTAGTACTTGTGTGTGCTTAGCCTGTCTTTAATGTTAATTGAATTGATTTCCCGAAACTCAATTACTTTATTTTTCTTTCTTTCTTTTTTCTTCTTTTCTTTTTTGAGACCAGGTCTCACTATATAGTTAGGCTGGCTTTGAGCTCATGGCAATCCTCCTGCCTCAGCCTCCCAAGTGTGAGTGCTGGGATTACA